AATCTTCACATACTTTTACGTCATTCCAGCCCTGTTAGCAGCAGTTTTCTCAAGTCTTCGGAATCTGAGGGTCACAAGCGAACGCTTTTTGAATCTAATACTAGTGGTAAGCTCTCTGTAATTACCTTGTTTACTTTTGCTTTACAGTCAATTTTTGTACTATGAAACATGGTTTGCTCTTTATTAACAGTCAGCGCTTTGATGAAATCGATATTAGGTTGGACAGGCTCAGTGTAAATGTTCTGGATGCATCGGGTAAAATGGATCTGATGCTCATGAATCTAGGAAGGCTAATGAGAACTGTCCTTCCTAATAAGAGAAAAATCTCGAGGCCACCTGGGCAGGGATGGAAACGGTAATGAAATTATATTATCGCCTTTTAGGCTCCTGTTCAAAAGCTATGTGACTTAATTAACTTTCGACACCGTGCATTGGTAGAGTAGAAAAGGATTCATCTGATCCCATCAGGGTTGTTCGCAATATGTGCTTAACCTAGGAGTTGTGGCAACTTTTATCTAAGAAATTAAATTACCGGCACCCTAATATAATTTCTTGCGAAAAAGTGGCCACATCTCCCTCGAAAAGGAAATATTGTGGGCAACTCCGTTTGGCTGGGATAGAGCCTTTTCTTATATATTGCGGCACGGTGTCGAAAGTTCATTAAGGCCCGTAGTTTTTGAACAGGAGCCAAAAAAGGCAATAATATAATTTCATTACCGTTTCCATCCCTGCACCTGGGTTGCCAACTTTTCCCATTCGCACTCCAAAAGAGTTAAAAGCATAGGAAAGACACATTTCTAAATCTGATGCTAATTTAGCAGCGGTGGTAAGTCTTCTCAGTTTAATTGCAAAATACGTTTCTTGCTGTCCTTCGGATTGGGTAGCATTTTAACTTTATTTTATTTATTACATGTGGGTTATATGAAATTTTATGATCGCGTCAATGTGCCAAATGCAGAAGCTGTGAGAACTCGGAAGATGCTTAAGAAAGTATTGACCAATACCCTTGCAACCAAAATTAATATGGAAGGAAGAAACGGCAAAATTGCATTCCAAAAACTTGGTCCCAATGATGCTCTAGAAGGTAAAGAACATATGGATATTTTATTAATTACAAATCCAATCTAATCTTAAATCATATTGTACTAAACATTTCTTTATTTTGCAGCTGCTGTCCTGGCATTCTTTCCTAATAGCACTTTGGAAGATTTGCACAAAGCTCTGCAAACATGGCTGAAAGATTCTGCAAGAAGAACTAAAGTTCCTGGGACCCAAAGTTCAAAGAGCGCTGCTACTTCTAAGACTTCAAGTGCTGCTGCTTAATGACAAATTGATTTTTTTATTCACTGAAATTTTTTACCCCTTTTGAAGTAATTCCTTTCATAAGTCTTTTAATGTTCCTTTGTTCTCTGGTCATAACTCAGTTTAATTTGTGAACTACTTCAAATTTCATTGAATTTTATGCTCCTTGTGTTAGTTTTGTCTAGGTTTTTTTTTACTTCATTTACTCTCTCCATCTGGAGTTGTTATACAGCTTTAATATCTGAATGAGTAGAAATTTCCTATCTGTCTTTCAAGTGAGCTTTAGATGAGTGATTGCTAATATTTTCCTTTATGTTCCTTGTTCTCCGTATTCTCTGGAGTTTAATATATCTTAACTCTCTGGACCAGTAGAAATTTTCTATATTGAAAACACTCTTGTGAGCCTGTGTTTTGTTCAAGTAACTCTTTGTTTTATCTTTCTTGTTTATCTTTCTGGAGTTAATTTTTATGAAAACAGTCTTGTGAGCCTTAGAGATTTGCTCAAGTAATCATTGTTTTTTTGTTTTGTTTCTTGCTCTCTATCTAGAGTTAGTTATGTGCAGCTTTAATTCGTGGACTGGTTACCATTTGCTATAATTTAAGTCTGCTTGTGATCTACACTTATGTTTAGTCTTTCAATTGATGAAAGATCTTATGTGATTAGGAATATTTATCATTAGTACTTCACCAGTCATTAACTTAGTTTATTTTGTAAACCTAAACATATTTGTGACCTATGTTTAATAAGTGAGACAGGACTTGATCCTGATTGTTCAATACGAATATTTCAACATTCTTCATTTGAACTTCTATCGAGGTCTAAACCGAATGTGATACTTGTTAAAATATTCTGTACGAAAATTTAAGATGTTCCTGTTCATCAACCTTTGTTGATTTAAGCTTTTATTCTTGAATAAACCTTTCATCAAAACTTTGTCCTTTTCTTTGAACTACTGTATTTTTTGTTTAATTTTAACCACTCAAGTTTCACGGTTGGCTCGAACATCAGTTACTAAAAAGTTTCTCGCTTTGCCAGATCTGTAGTACGCTAGGAGCACACCAATCCTGTTATGATCCGCTGATACCTTGGCTATGCACGACCCCAGCCTGGCTGGCTAGGCAACCCTTTCTAGCCTGCATCCCCGTAGGATGGGCTGCCTACCCTTCAGGCGTCTCGCAGGGTATAATGCAAACCCTTTACACGTCTACACTACACTGCGATATCAAGGACGACGAGCCAATTCGAAATCAAAGTATCGAATCTATGTCGATATTGACCTGTCGATTCTCCGTCGATTTTGACCTATGTGGAACCCAAGTACGTTTCGATATCGAAATGGGCAAATCTATCGACACATGAAATCGACGTCGATCCGATGGACACTAGACACTTCATTTCTAGCTGGGTACTGTGTACTAAGACTTAATGAAAAAGATTGAAAGCGCATTTCTAGCTCCTGAACTCTCCCCGCTTGATCGAATCTATAATATGTAGTTTGTCGTATTTTTCCTTAGAATCTGGAAGGCCTGGAGTATTTCTTCCAGGTCATACACGTTAGATTTAAATGCCATTACTCAGAACATGAATATTGGTACTGAAATCAATGCTCATGGTATTGTAAAAGTTGTCAGAGTGTTGCGTGATTCAAAATGTGACCAACTGTTCTTACCATTACATGTCTAGTCAGCCATGTGAGAGTTTTTTCAGAAGGGCAAGATCTTTCACAACTACAGTAATGTCCCTCTCGAAGCTCGCAAATCGGGACCGGATTTCAGCTTCGAGAGGACGACCCGAAAGTTAGCCACATGTTGCGAATCTATTGTATAGCAAGAGGTGTTGGCGTCTTATGTTGGGAGCGGCCTGGTGCCTCTAAGAAAAATGCATCTAGTTTAGATGCATATTGTACAAAGTGGCAGTTTGCCTCTAATACAAATCAAGAGAATTTACCTCTAAAACATTTGCCTCTAAGCCTTATATGCTTATTACTAAAGTACAACAAGTTCTGAAAATGCCTCTAAGAGCTGCCACAGTTTTACCTCTAATAGAAATAATGTAAATATGCCTCTAATGCATTTGCCTCTACGAAAATGATCAAAATTTATACCTCTAACAGATATGCATCTAAAGTAAAGGGTATTTTACCTCGAATACATTTGCATCTAATAAAACAGTGATATTTTACATCTACGCAATATGCATGTAAATTCAGATTATCGTCTCCATGCGGTCATTTTGCCATAGAAACGCGTTATGGCAACGAATATACTCTCTCTCTCTCTCTCACACACACACTCATTATAAGGGTCGGATCGCTAGGCTAGAGCTGCCAAGCCGTACTTTGCACTCCCCCGCATGTAGTGGGCCCCCATAAAAGAGACGCGAAGATGTTTGTCAGCCGTGGCGCGGCCGTGACGAGGGGCTGCGACGCGCCTGGCATACATCTACCTAGGCCTGCGGCGCTGACACCCGAGTCGGGTTTCGCAAAATATGAACACAAAGATACGGACCTCCGGCCCGTCAACTTCCCGTCACTTCGACTAAGCACGCAGGGTTGTACATTTTTTCGCTTATTTTCGTCAAAAA